TGTGTGATGGTGATTTATCAGTGTTTTTTGTCTCCAGCTATTTTATAAGCTCACAAAGCCCAAGACTTTATAATTCATTTTTTATATCCCTTCACTGTCTAGCAGAGCTCTTTGCATGTAATACACAGTAGTTGCTGAATGAATTTATCGTTCATTGTTAAATGTTGGTGCCATGGTTTAGACTTAATCACAAACTATAAGGTTCATATTAATCATACCCGGATATTTAGGACCTAAGTATAGTCTTCTTTAAGTATCCATAAGTAAAAGTGAAAGAAACATGTGAACAGACAAGGTATAACTTCGTTAATACTGTGAAAGATGCCTCTAGTCACACTCTCCGAAATAGGTTATACCAGTTTTGTAGTAAAAATACTAAGAGGCTAGGTGTCATAAAACATGCAACTTAAAGGGTATGAGTTCAATAAAGAACTATGTTAATTAAAAATTCTACAATTTTGGGGAGCACCTGGGTGGCTCAGTCATTAAGCGTCTGCCTTTGGCTCAGGTCATGATCCCAGGGTCCTGGGATCAAGCCCCACATAGGGCTCCCTGCTCTGCAGGAAGCCTGCTTCTCCCTCTCCCACTCCCCCTGCTTGTTGTGTTCCCTCTCTCGCTGTCTCTCTCTCTGTCAAATAAATAAATAAAATCTTTTAAAAAATAAAAATTCTACAATTTTTGGAATAGTTTATTCAACAATGAGATCAATAAATACAAATATTTCCAGTATATCCTCTATGTTTAATATGTTGAGAATGTATATTGACCTTCAGGTTTAAAAAACTTTGAAGGCACAAATACAATGATGACTGTCTTGAGTTTTAATAAGTGAAGATAATGAAAACACTTATTTTCCTTGTCCGAAACCCAATTTGTGATTTACCAATATACATGCTTCTATTTAGCAAGTTCATAAGGATCAGGATGAAAGTACAATTATGAAATTAGACAACAAAATTTCTGTTTTGAAAATGCCTTTCATTTTTCATGGGAGTGTGGAAAATATTAGAAATGAGTCAATGCTCTTTAGAAAATATGAGGATAATGGCTATGTCTTGAAATTTATATCTGGAGTTCTGAGCATAATTCCACGCATAAAATAAATTTAATAAATGCTTGATGAATGAATAATTGAAGGCTTTGATTTTATAAGACATAAACAAAGTTAAAATGGTAGTGCTCCAAAATACTAATATTAATTATACAAATAGGAACTACTGAGGTCCAAAACTATGAACCAACCTCTATTGAATTTGTGTCTTTGATAAGGAAAACACACATAGCAGTCCATTTTTATATGTATTTGAGCAAAACTGTCTTTTTGTTTAGCCATTGTGATAACAATAGATATTTTCATAGAATACAAAAGCCTCAAGGCTCAGTGTACCCAGAGATTTTCAAAGTTCTGAGTAGATGTTATTGACTGGTTTAGAACTTAAAAACTGGATGTGATTGGCTGGATTTAGAACTTAGAAACTTTGTTTTATTTTTGTTACAAAGTCAATATTTTTATATATTTTGTGTAGCCATGCTTAAGTTTAACAGGAAAAGAGAGGCAAAGTGGGTGCTCTAGACTAATAAAATGTAAGCCACAAATAGACCCAACAAATTGTGCATGACGTCATTGTAGGCAAGTAAAAGTCCTGGGAGTGACTGTCCATGAGCTATGGATGTGACTATTACTTGAGCCATATGAGAAGTGTAGTGCCCACAGAACTGAGAATGAATTTCTCTGGATCACTGCTATGAGGGGATATATATAAAATATCACAGGCATAAAATGTAAAGTGCATGAATTATATAGTATCATGGTCATCCTTAACTCCTCACCTTCTCTTATATGCCATATCTTCCCATTGGATTTCTTCAACTTCTATCCAGAGTCTGGATCACCTTCACTGCCACCAGCATAGTCTAAAACACCATCATCATTCATTTAATTACTTCCAACAGCCACCCATCAAGTTCCTGTACTTCTATCCTTGTATGCCTTTATTTTCAATAAAACAGGGGGCTGATCATTTTATTTTTATTTTTAATGGAAGTAAAACACACATAAAAGAGTGTAAAGTAATAGGAATTGAAGTAAAACAAACATAGAAAGTATATAAAGTACTCCAATCTTAAGTATGTAGCTGATTGATTTTTTAATATGTATATACCTGTGTAGTCACACTCAGATCAAAACAAAGGACACTTCCAGCAGGCCTCTTCCCCCCATACAATGTTCCAGACTATACCCTTCCAAACTTCATCACTATGCTATTATTTTCAGTGTTTACTTTTGTACATCTTGAATTTCATGGAAATTGGGGATAAAAAGTATAATACTTTGTTGGCTTCTTTTGCTCATCTTTATATGAGATCTTCTCTGGAAGTCAGTTGCTTAATCTGTAAAGAGGAAGGTAGACTGACACTGGGAGCTAAAATTTGAAAACAAACTGAAGTTCAGCCCCAACCCACAGTTCTGATTTTTTTTTTTTTTTTTTTTTTTTTTGGTCTGGAGTCAGGCAGAGTAGTATATTTTTAAAAATCCCCAAGAGAATTGAACATATATGCTCTGAATCAAATGATCTCTCTCTTTCTTTCTCCCCCTACTCTCTCTCTCTCTCTCTAACTCTATGCCCCTCTCCTCCTCCCTCTCCCTCTTGCTCTGTCTGTCTCTCTGTCTCTCCCTGACCCCTCTACTCCTTTCCATATGGATGGATTGGCCACCACTCCTTTTTACCTCTATCCTTCCTTAAGTGTGCACTGAGCACCTATCAGATACCAGGCACCCTCTTAGGTTGCTGAAGCTACATGAGTAAACAAAACGTAGTCCCTATCTTCCTGGGGCTTGGTCTCAAAAAACCCATACCTGAATATATAAACAAATATTGTTGAGTATATTTTCAGTATTTTTTTCCCTACTCTATAGGACCCTTTTATTTTCCCTTTCTAATTTATGGTGCATGCTGAGAGAGTTTTGTCTTTAATACCCACTCCAGACGCCAGTTTATTTTGTAAATGGTTTAAATGGTAGCCAAAAAAATTATCTGAGAATCTTATTGTAGGTGCTATTTATTAACCTTTTGTAGGTCTTATAGTGAATTAATATGTTTGTGTGTAATAAAAGTAACTGAAATTTAGGAAGTAACAGCCCATGAATATTTTTCAGTAAATTATATATGTTTGGACCGGGAATCTTCTTATTTTCTGTGAAAAGTATATAATTGATAGGAAATTAACAGCATCAGGACTATTAGACAAACATTTAAAAATATTCAATTCAATTCTCTTAGCATTAGATCACAATAATTATTTGGTGTGTTTCTTTTACTTGTTTTTAATGGTCCTAAAACAAAGTTTAAAAGAACATTTTTTTAAAGATTTTATTTATTTATTTGAGAGAGTGAGTGAAAGCACAAAAGCAGGGGCAGAGGGAGAGGGAGAAGCAGACTCCCCTGCTGAGCAGGGTGCCCAACGCAGGGCTCAATCCCAGGATCCTGAGATCACAACCTGAGCCAAAGGCAGATGCTTAACCTACTGAGCCACCCAGGTGCCCCTAAAAGGACATTTTCGATGAATACAGTAGAACATCCTGTTTTTCCCATTTCTTTTCTTTCCCCCTTATTTCCTTCCTTATACAGTCTTATTTCCTGGTAGCAAAGTGAAATGTAAAGAAAGGAAAGGATTTAAAATATACTTCAGCACCATAGCCTTACTGGATATTTAGATGCTGATGGGCAAAATAAGATTTGTTTGGTCATGTAATCAGTGACTTCCAATCTTTGTTTTTGGGTTTTATTTTTTCAGTAGAATAATTTCAATAAAACTTAACTTTTTTTTTAGTAACACTTACTTTGAAATAAATCAATAAGAATCATTTTTTCTCAAAGCAAATGTGTATACCTTAGCTGCAATCATTCTTAAGCAAAGAACATCTCATCGAATATTAATTTAGTTTTGCATAAAATTACATTGAAAAAGGAATATAAATAGTTGATCCATTTTATAAGGACAGATTTTTAATCCCTTTTTTTCTTTTCATTTTCTTTAAGAGACATTTTGACCTTGCTGTGAAGCTAAGCTAGAGGGGACATTGGCAGAACTTTCTATGTCCTTATGCATAGCTTTGGATGAGAATTTAATAGGACAGAAAATAATACCTTGCCAAGTATTAACTTTAAATCTTCTATTTACTGTAGAATTTCAAGATTTATGGAATACCAAAACAACCCAGGGAGATGACTCATAAAGAACTAGAACTTTCTAGTTTCCTACATTCTTTAAAAAAAAGTCTTAGCTGTTTAACTTTGCTGTATAATACCATAATCAATATTGAGATCAACCTATGAGTTAACATAAATCAATCATTTGGGTTTTTTGGTTTTTGTTTTTAACCTATCACTCTAAATGGTTACAAACTGGTAATCATATCAAAAATAACTTTAAAACCATGGCATCCCAATTTTAAATTATAAAGACAATACCTAAATTTAATTAGAGGAATGCATAACTGTTGAAGTCCAAATACATTTTTAAAGTAAAGACTTAGCTATGGTTTAAGATGAAAATACACTTTCTTTCTTTCATGCTATATCAACCCTCTGGCATAATGACCAAATATTACTGGTTGAATCCCAATTACCCGCATCCTAACATTCTACAACTTGCATAAGCAACAGCCTCCTCCTGTCTGGATGCTTTCGTCGAGACTTAGTTGTGAAGCACAGAATCCAGTTTTATGTTAAGTAGGTGGGTTGCTAATCTGTGAGAATGCCATTCTTGATCAGGCCTTGATGAATTTTTTGTGAATACCAAACCGAACAAGGCAAGCTTTATATTCGTTCTGCAATTAGCCGAAATAATTCTAGTTAAACTCTGGTAAAGATCTCTAGTATGAAATGAATGTAAAGTATTCATTCTTTCTTTATCTTACTCTCTGGTTTCATTTTAGCTCATTTGTTTATTTAAAAATAACCCTCTAAGTTGCTTTTTCACTGCTTTTCATGTTACAGATTGAAAATGTTGATGTCTGCCTTAGTTTTCTAGCAGCCAGAGGAGTAAATGTTCAAGGTCTATCCGCTGAAGGTAAGAAAAGGCACAGTTGTCACCAATAACACCCAAGTTTGCGGGAAAAAATTGTTTTTGTATTGCAGGAAATGTAAAGTGGGAGGACATAGCTTCTTAATACAAGAAGTCAGGTTTCCAAAAATAGTAGAAACATAAATGCAATGCTTATTAATGTATGCTTTAATTATTTATATATGTTCCATATTTTGGCAAAACGGATATTTTCATGACTGAGTGTGTGGGAAAAGGGGAGATTAACAAAACATTTTTATGTTATCACCATGTATCGTATTTTTAGAGTCTTAAGTAGAGGGATGGATGGATACATAGATAATGCTGCATTATAGATACATGAAATTCAGGTAAAAATAGTATAATTAATCTGCAAATATTATTTTATGAATAACACATCAAATTGGTAGTCCTGGTTGAAATATTTGGTAAGTTTAAATAAGTCATCATGAGTTCTTAAATAATTAGCAGTTAAAATATTTAATAGCTGTCATATGTAAAAGCTTTAAAGTCATTACAGATTTAAAAGATCATCACTATAATTAAAATACAGAAAAGTGGTAAAAGACTGAACTGGTTCTGTCTTTTTTTTTTTTTTATCTTTTTCTTTCACATTTATTTTTAGGAAAACTTTTCAAGTACTATAACAAAATCTAGTTGCTAAGATTATGAAATAGCAAGTCCTTTGAGATCTGCAATAACCACCATTTTATTAGAATATTAATTTATATATTAAAATTCTGCTAGATACTGGTATATACTTTGACGATTTAGATTGGTTAATATTTCTACTGTAGTCATTTGCTCTGAATAGCCTTTCTCCCTGCAAGTACTAGAAATATTAGACAGGTCTAAGTTTTAAAAATTTTGCTGTCATTGGAAAAAGAGGAATTATGTGGCTTCTGAAATACTGTGAACATTTAGTAGAATTTTTTGAGTTTTCCCAATTTTTCTTCTGTATTCATTTTTTGTTTTAAATTTCCTTTGTCTTTTACACTTATATGATATGTTGTGTAATATGAAATTACACATTTGGGGGCCGAAAACTTTAGGTTCAAACCTAACTGATGGTTCTGCAACTTAGAATAAAAGTTGATAAAATTCCCCAGGAAAATATTTTACTTTTTCAGTGCTTAAAAGTAAGTTAAAAATGTTACCATTTGTTCATTTTATGTCTCTGTCTTCTCCTATGACATCCTTTAGTAACAGAAACCCAATGATTTTCATTTATCTTCTAAAAATATATGAATGCTCAAAATGGTTTTCTAAATTAATAAAATATACATAGTAAGAAAACAAGAAATTTTTAAAACCTTTAAGATCATCTAGGTTTACATGAGAACATTAATACTTTCTTACTGTAGCCTCATATCAATCAGACTAACTCTTCTATATTATGGCAACTGTGAGAAGTTTTGGGGAGGTGGTGAAACATCTCATTCTCATTTTAAATGAGTAATTCCACTGCATACTTTGTGTGATGTCTATAAACCATCAGAGAGCAAGAAATCAGAATAGTTTGTTAATGTCCCTAAACTACAAAAAGGAGACATAAAACCTTGACATCACAGGAGGATGTATTTTTATTGTCAACAGCATGTTTTATTTAGAATATGATTACAGGTTTCATAGACTTATTTCAAGCTTTACTTCCATCTCTTCTCTGAATTTTATATTATAACTACAAGCAAAAGAAAACGAGGTTCAGATTGTAGCTTACTTTGGGTGTTTATCTTTTTATTCAGTATTAGAAAAATTTAGGAGCTCCATGTACTAGAACTAGGATTTACAGTTACATTTATTCAATTGGTGTCATGAATAAGCTGATCTTTATAATTTATTAATATGTAGTATGAGTCAAGAGAAAAAGTGGACCATTAAAAAATTAATACTTATAATGTCTACTTTTGGGAGATTACATATATAGTCATATATATAAATATATAAACATTTTAATAAATTGATTGCTAGGTGATTTAGGAGGGCTACTGTAAATCCAGTTGCCATTATAAGGTGCACCCACACCATCATTATTTATAATGTAGGACAACCAACATTTAAGTGGCTTTCTTTCTCCAGTTCATATCCATCACTGTGTTGGTAACAGCTGTGTATTTGTGAGGGAAGCAGAATGCTGAATCAAATGATTAGTGCAGGACAGAGAGCCCATCCATTTCCAGGAAGAAGCAAACTCTGGCAAAATTGCAGTTGAGGATCAGCAAAGACCATTGCTCGAACAACTTTTGTTCTACCTTCTTTCCCATTACTCTGTCCCTGAAGCTCCAGGCTATTTGGAAATGTTATCACGCTTCAGAAATTCAGATTTGCTTGAATCTGTGACTGTGAGACTTGAGGTGCATTTCTATCTTCACAGATTTGGTCTAAGAGAATGGCAACTGGAATTGCATTTGTAAAAAAATACATAAATAAAAAGGAAAACCGCATTCATTTCATATGTTACTGTTTTTATATTTTCCCTTTGATACAGAAATAAGAAATGGAAACTTAAAAGCCATTCTAGGGCTGTTTTTCAGTTTGTCTCGCTACAAGCAGCAACAACACCATCAACAACAGTATTACCAGTCTCTGGTGGAGCTTCAGCAGCGAGTCAGCCACGCCTCCCCTCAGGCAGAAGCCAGTCAGGCCAAAACCCAACAAGATATGCAGTCCAGGTAAGGACAGGAAGCAGGGCATGTGTGTAAAATTAACTTGTCTGGATATAAATTGTTGTGTTTTTTTTTTCAACAACTTACTGTTTGTGAGATTGGAAAACATATTTATGTAGTTGCATCAGTGTTATGATGTAATTTGACCCATGTTATGGAAGTTAAGACCACTTTTTCTTTTGGTTGGATGAGCAGCCTTTATTAATTTAAGGTGAAATACTTGTGTTTGTTTCTAAAGATGATTGTGGTTTGTATCAAAGTGTGCGAAATGTCTTTCTTGTGAGTGACGTGGCACAATTGTTTCCTTCTGCAGATTATTTAGAATGTGCTATTGAGTATGTGTTCATCTGACTTGAGTCTGTTGGCGCATCGTAGACACAGCCTGGGGTGGGGTGCTGACAAATCATGGCAACTTCCTTCCCTCTGCCCTTAGTGCTGTTTTCCAATTTGGAATTATATCAGTCAGGGTTCAACCAGAGAAGCAGAACCAGGAAGGGATTAAGAGATTTATTGTGAAGAATTGGTTTACATGATCTTGGGGACTTGCTAGGCAAGTCTGAAATCCTAAAGCCAGCCCAGCAGGAAGGGCAGGCTGAAACTCTCTCAGCATGAGCCAAAACTTTTATAATCAGGTAGAATTTCTTCTCTCAAGGAAGCCTTCATCTTGCCTTTAAGACCTTTCAAGTGGGGAATCAGACCTACCCAGATTATCTAGGATAAGCTCCCTTACTTAAAGTCAGCTGCTGTGGACTTTAACCACATCCACAAAATACTTTCTCAGCAGCACCTAGATTAGTGTTTGATTGAACATGGGACCCAATAAACCTAGCTAAGTTGACACATCAGAAAATGATCACAGAATGAAATGAAGTTAACAAGTTTCATGCATGCTGCTCATTTGTTCCTCACCAATGACCAGGATATTGGGTCATTTGCTCTATTGTGTAAATAGCTGATTGTTTTTCCTTCAGAGGGAGAATGTCCAATATGCAAATACTCATTATCTTTAAGAGTATATATACATATCAAACAGATGTAAATATTTAACTTTTTCCATCTTATAAGGCAAACCTGAAACCTGGTAACACTAAGTTTACCCTGAGTTTGTTTTTGGTATTTAGTATTGACTCACAAAGTTAGAGTAAAATTCCAAATTACATTCACATACCACCTTCCCCGCCCACCACGTATTGTCAATATTCAACAGTTCAGAAATCCCCTTTTCCTTCATCTGTCAAGCAGCCCTTTCTTCATATTAAGCAATACTTCTTTTCTCCGTGTGACCATGTAAACTCTATTTGCTTTGGTGGATTTGACTCACTAATGAATTATTAAGTCAATAAAGAAAAACTGTAATTTTATAAAAAAATAGAGTATACTACATAGTTCAGGGAGTGATAAAAGATGTTTCTCATTACTCAGTAATGCAGATATGCTTTTGTTCTTAAAGCTCTTCCTGGCTTTTTGTGACGTAAGTGAAATTGTACAGAAGTCAAAGTGAAACAAAATTCTCTACAGGGGAAGTTCTTTGGATTTCTTTAAGAATGGGGGGAGGAAATAGATTTTGTAATTATTTATTTATTATTTGGGGGAGATGGTTGGTAGAAAGAGATGTAGATTTTGAAAACTGCCAGAAATAATATTTCCTAAAATTTGGTTTAAGTTATTTGAATGGACAAGAAGCAAGAATAGTAGCTGAAAAAACATAGGAAGTTAAGTGGTATTGTACAAAACATGTTAACTCCGGAAGTGATACAGAGTATCATTTGTCTTTACTTTACCTCATTCTATTTCTGTATCTGCCATGTGGAATTTCTTACCCAGAATTTCTCAGTGGTTATGACCCTTCTGGGGAGATTGTTTTTCTCATTCTTGCTGGATGTGCATGGCTGTTATGGAACAATATTTTATTTAAAAATATAAAGCCCTATGTAGTAGGCATGGTAATCTTATACCTTCATTGGAAGGTTTTGAAAAGTATTCTTTTCACCAGTGTCCTTTAAGACTGAGGTAGACTCTTAAGGAATTTTTCTTGTGATAAATTTAATTACTTTTAATTGCTTTGTAGACTGATAATGAATTGATAATGTAGAGTACTTCCTGTATTAAATATAGTAGTTATGACCCTGATGTAGAGGGGCTACTTGTCTTTATTTTAACAGAATTTATTATCTATCTTGGAGAATATTATATTTCAAACATTAGTACTTATTTCCATTTATATAGATTTGGTGTAGGGAAATAGCCTATGAATTAAAATTTATGTGGACTTACATACAACAATCAATGTATGTTAAGTATTTTTCAAAAGCCCATAGTGAGAATATACATAAGAAAGGATGTTTACTTTATGTCTATATAGTAAAACCAACATAATTAATAAAGAAAAAAATAACCCAGTGACACATTTATCTTCATTTGCTTGAGATGTGAGTCATAAATCATGATTTATGAAGACTTTCTGTTAATTCTAAAGCTCTTCCCAAGTAAATAGCTTAAATGACTGGTTGCTATATTATTCTGGATATTTAGCCAGAAAATATTCTTATATTTTTCTCTGTCAACTCATAAAAAATTTTAAGGACAAATGTTTTCAGTTCAATGAGCGTTTTGTTTTGTTCTTTTTATTTAAAATAAATTGGTGTAACTGTATATATTCCCACAATATTTATTTTATACATTAAGAATTTCTAACTTGGTTTTGCTATTTTGCAAATAACTCCAAATGTTTTCAGTCATTTGAAATATCTTTCATTTAAACAGACACTTAGACCTAAAGGTTAACAAGTACACAAGAGAGAAAATAAAACATGGATCAAGAGGAATAGAGTGTGGGTAACAAACTCTCCTTTTCTGGTTTCTCAGCTTTTTCTCCACTCTTGTGTATATATGTTTGTGGGTATGTAGGTGCATATACACGAGAACATACCTGCGTGTGTGTGTGTGTGTGTGTGTGTGTGTGTGTGTGTAAGTGTATGTGTCCTGTTCCAGTGTTAACTAGAATTCTAGTTATTCAAAGTTTGCCTCTGGAATCAAACTGCCTGCACTTGGATCTGAATTTCACCACTTCCTAATTGTGGGGCCTCAGGCAACTTGCCTGACCTCTTGGTGCTTCAGTGTTCTCATTTGTTAAAAGATAATAAAAAATGGCATCCATCTCATGAGGTTGTTTTTAGGTTCCCTGGAGTCACTACAATATAAAACACTTTGAACATACTGGGCACATGACACTCTCTGCTCAAAGCCTTGCAATGGTCTCAGATAGCCCAGGCTTGCTCCCATCTTAGGAAGTGCGCTCTTGCTGATTCCTTTGCTTGGAATACTCTGTCTGCTAGCTGCTTGGCTAAATCTCTTACCTGCTTCAAGTCTACAGCTCACATGTTACCTTCTCACTGACGCTTACCTTGACTAACACCATTTTAGCACTATAGGCTGCCCATGTCCACTCCTCACTGTACTTTGCCATACTTTTTCTTTTTCTTAGTTTAATCAACCTTTAATTTCAATGTACTTGTTTATTATATTCATTATTTATTATTGCCATTTCCCTGTAAAAGGTAGGCACTATTATTAGTACAGCAGTATTTTTTTATGTTTTATTTTATTATTATTTTTTTGATATATTTTAATCACTGGTATAGCCAAAGGGATAAGCACAGAACCTTACACACAGTTTTCAACAATTTCTTCTTAAAAAAATAATGTAAGAATTAACAAATCTGTGTTAAGACTGCTTCCAATTTTAAGTGGGAAGATGCATAGTTACAGTTGTAAGTAATTCATAGTGAAAATTGTGTGTATTTATAAAATTTGTAGAATAAAATAAATATGTTCTTGATTTGGGGGTGGTCATGATATTGAACTGCAGTGAGTTTCAAAATGGTATACAGTGGAGATTCTTATTATTATTACTGGAATTATCCACTTGTAGTATCTTTATTAAAATAAAACTGGAACTCAGATTCTAAATTTCTTAAATCCTTCACAGGGAATCCTTGGTTGTATCTGGAGTGATAAAGATTTGATTAATCAAGTCTTCAATTCTCAAAAATTTGAATATATTTAACATAAAAAATTAAATTTTCTCTGTCCATGATCTTTGGAAGGATTTCACATGAGTAAAGATTAAAGATCTTGCTGGGTTACATAATGTAAAACATCCTATTTGCATTTACTTAATATAAATAAAAACTAGTTCCTCATATTTTTTCTGGTTTTACTTTTTATTTTGAAAATGGTAGATAGGGCAGCAAGGTGGCTCAGTCAGTTAAGCATCTGACTCTTCGTTTCAGCTCAGGCCATGATCTTAGGGTTGTGAGATTGAGCCTCTAGTTGGGCTCCATGCTGTGTGTGGAGCCTGCTTAAAATTTTCTTTCTTCCTCTCCCTCTGCACCCCCCCCATCATGTGTGTGTACACGCACACTCTCTTCCTCTAAAACGAAGGAAGGAAGGAAGGAGGAAAGGGAGGGAGGAAGGAAGAAAGAAACTTAAAAAAATAATAGATTAAAGCCCCTTTCTTCAACCAACTGGGAAAATATGAAAAATATTTTAATATGAAGTGCTAAAAATCTTTTTTAGGAGTTGAAATCATAGTTATTTTTTCTAAGTATTAACTAGGAGATGGGGAAGTATTATTTCTTATTCTAGAAAACAAAATAGAAATGAATGCTATATCTTCCAACTCAAAATTTATTTGATCAGTAAATATGGTTTGAGCATTCAGGATATTTCTGCTAATCATACTTTTCCATGTGTTGAGTTTTGACAATGAAAGTTCTAGTTGACATCAAAGGTAACAGGAAGTTTAATTTCACCAAAATCTTACACAATGCCTGGCAGAGAGACTAGCCAACAATGAGCAGAATGCATGTCATGAATGGATAATTTCCTGAGAATATCAGGTAAATCATTATAGTGGAAGAAAATTATATAATGAAAATTCATTTTTCTTATGTACCATTCAGTTATATATGAGGTGTAAGCATGACGGTATTTGTAAAAGATGA